CCCCTCGGCCCCCCCGCGGCGCCCCCCCCCCCCCCTTCTTTCTGCAGTTTTGATGTATATAATACATAAACAAAACAGGCCCAATAAATTTAATAATAATATTTATTTAATATATTATTATTTTAAATATTATTACATGTTTTTAAAAATTAAACTACCAAACGCAGTTTCAGTTTTTTTTAAAATTGAAATCAATCTCTGAATAAAACTACCACAACACATTTTCAGAATAATTCTAAAATGAAAATGAAAACGTTTTCATTTCCATTTTCATACGGAAAATAAAATCATTTTGAAATTAATTCCAAACGCACCCAATACAATACGTCTTTTTATTTTGTTTTGTTTTGTTTTTTAACCGAGAAAGCCTTATTACCAAGTTCTCGTTATTCTAATATGACGAAGTCATTGGAAGAAAGTGAAACAAATGTTGAAATTGCTTTTAGTATGAACGTGCTCCAAATTGTAGACATAATTACTGAATTCTTTTCTTTTTCCTTTGCTTATAAGGAATCTTTACATAAAGGAGTTTCTTTAGCAGGATTAAAAGAAATATATACTATCAATAATTTTTTATTTTTAACAATTAAATGTATATAAAAAATTATTTACATATTTTTTTAATCAGATGTAATATTAATTAAATTTAATAATGATAAACTGATACTACAAATAATGAAAAATTTTCCGTAAAATTAAAGCAGTCGGGTCTTCCGCTCACTTTCTTGTCTTTGTTATCATTCATCATCATTATACCGTCAAAACCAAAAAGCCATACATCACCAAGAAATTAATGTTGGAGGTACTACAAACTTTAGATGACAGCTGAGGGCAGTGGTCCTGGAAAACTCCCACTTCAAAGGCAAACTGTGCATTTCATTTGGGTGGTTCTACTGCCATACTCATTTGACTCTCTTTTTTTTTTTAATTATTATTATTTTTTACAATAATAAATGAAAAATGTTACAAGTGTTTGACTGATTTGGATAACTAACTGAAAACACATCCTTAAATTAAACATCGAATTTTTATATGAAAGAGGGGACAACGATATTATACTTAAACTTATGATCCCTCAAAATAAATAAATATATATAACTATTTTGATGTCAAGTACTCTTAATTCTATTGCCTGATAGTATTGGGTCGTAGATTATTGAATCATGTGTGCATTCTAGAAAAGAGAAGAAAAAAAAAAAAAGCATTCTTATAGTGACATAAATCCCTTAATGATGATATCTTAATCAACGGTTATGAGTTAATTATTTTTGTGATAATTAGATGTCTTGGAATGAAAAAGATAGATCTTTCTGCGCAAAAAGAAGTGATTCACAACAAAAAGTAATAATCAACTAAACGGAATGAATTCGTTAAGAAGTTTGTCTTACAAAAACAAATTACACATTTGATCCCACTTCTCCTTTTGTAATGGGTAAATGAGTTTTAAGTTGATGTTGATGTTGGCAAAGAGGCATTAATAAATATATTGGATTAATACTTACGAAGCACTTCACTGTGCAATTTTATCCATGTGAATGGCTAAGTTCGATCACGTGGGAAAAGTGAGAAACGAAAACAAGTTCTTGAAAGTAGAAGAAGAAAATAAGAATGCAACGTCTTAATCCTCTAATTAAGTAAATATATAATAAAAGTTCTTTCTTGGCATCTACCAACCCAACAGCACTCTTGACTAGTTTATGCAAAGCACACGTAACGTAACTTCCGAGATTTACTGTGAAGCCAATTTTCCTTTTCTTTTCTCTCACGTGTTTCATTTTATTTCCAATTTACGTTTGCGTCGGTGGCCAAAACGAGAATCATTGCCACATGACCAAAAGAAAAAGAAACCGTTATTATATAGTGCATGATATAAAATAATAATAACAATAATAATTAAAAAAAAAAAAAACAGTTTTATACCCTTTTAATAAGAACAATCCCTCATGCTTGTGTCTTCCATGTACGGTACGTGGAAATAAATACGTAAATAACATGGACCGTAAATTTGCCCGTTTGTGTGC